GCCTGACTGATGGGGTGCTAGAACTGTCAAAGACCTGCTGTGACAAGATTGCTAGACATTTTGAGGACAGAAGGGCTCGCCTTCATGCTGATCTTGATGCTGCTGTAAATACAGTCTGTGATGAGGCCTTGAGAGTGTTGCCTTAGTCGATTCTCCAATTGCTGAGGCTTTTCGGTTAGCATAAACTGTATATTGCCCCCTATATAGATAGTTGTCTGGGGTAGGAACTTACCGTAATTATGCTGTTTAGGTTGTATTTCTGTTGTATTGACTAAACTTCAACTTCTGGACGAGAGTAAGATGTGTTATTTCATTTGTGCATGATGTTGTACAGTAAAAAAAAATATTAAAAAGAAAAACAAAAAAATCAAATGTTGTTCTTGCTGCCTTCCAACTCCACCAGAAGACTCTAAACACAAACCTTGGACGAACAGGGCTTTGTCAGTAAAACTGTCTGAATGCCACAGCTGGAAATAAGAGCAGGTGTGTTTAGGATTAAGGACAAGGCAAGTCTAGAATCATATTTCACATTTTGGGTTCTTAACTGCGACATGGGTATAACATCGTCCCATGTGTCTCCTACAAAATACAAAGAAAAATGTAGGCCTCAGGACAACAGAGCTTTGAAATGTCTTCCTGTTGGCCAGGGGTCAGTCACCTAGGGATGGTAGGCCCATCGTGGCCATGAGATCAAGATAGGCCCCTCAGCACCACAACGGGGTCTGATCCCATGGTGTGTTGGTCATTGGATGAGGGGCAGGCCACCCCTGGGGGCATGGAAGTCACTAAAGGCACGGGGGCATTTTAAACATGAGCCTGTACTTTGTGGGGACTTGGAAGCAGCAACCTTGGAAGAACCAGATGCACAGGAAATAATATATATATACAGCATATGATTTAATATTGAATTCATATCCTTTCCTATAAAAAAGGTGGGACTTCTGGTGAAAAGGGATATAGAGTTCCTGCCACTTTTTTCAGTGATTGACACACGTCTTATATTCATCTTTTGTTTATGGATCTATACATCCCAGTTATTGTATTATAGGTTTTAGATATTTGGTACTTACTTTTTTGGATTTTTGTTTTACTGCCTTTCTGTGCCTTTTTTAATAATAAGATTCAACTCTTTTTATGTATTTATTTATTTATTTATGGACATCACAGCCATTAGATTTTGTGTATAGAGATATAAAGTTCATTTAAGTTTCTTACCCTTGATTTATTTATCTTATGTTGTTGCCTTACTAATCGGGGGTCATTTTTCCTTCTTTTGGTTCTAGCGAGAAGCGGCCTATACTCTACAATATTTGCTTTGGAGCTCTACATAAAACACACAGCAGAGTCCTTGATGTACATAGCAGGCAGCTCCGTCCATTATTATTTTTTAATGCACATTAAAACGTAGGCTCTCGTGTTATTCTAGACATTCTCACGCTTATATGCTGGAGAAGCACCCTTGCCCTACCCCTTGCAGTGCTTGGAGGCATCTTCATCACCAAACTCAGAGGAGAGAGAGGCCTCTCAAGATGACTGCATGCAAAGCAGACAGCAAAAAAATAACTTAATATAAGTGCCTGGAGCTGCTTGGCTTTGAATGTCAGCCTGTAGTTACTTCCCATGGATGCACTGCCTGTCCACACACACACACACACAAAACCTAGCTAGAGGGAAATTCTTGCATGTCCCGCAGAAGCATTCATTATATTAATATGAAATTAGCTGGTGTGTTTGTACATGGCAACCAGATACACATTTAGAGCCCCAAGGGGAGAGCAGCTCAGCGCCCAAATCAGCTTCCAGGACTTTGGAGACAGCAGCATGCAACCCCAAGGCTCCATCTGGGTTGGTGGGGGGTCTCGGCTAGTGTCAGGAAAAGGGGTGCTTGCTCTTGCTGGTGACAGAAATGACCTGGGGAGGGAAGTCTACGGTCCTAGGAATCCCCCCTCCTCATTTTCAGACGTTACATTCTTTGCAAACATTCATGCCTAAGGAAGGGCTGGAACAAAGCAGCTGCTCCAACCGGTCGGACAGGTAGAGAAGCTTGTTGACACCGTTATGTTTGCAGCACGCATGCTCCCTCCAAGTTTCCTGGTGGTGCCTTTGCTCAGAGACACCTTTGGAAAGGGGGTGGGGGTGAAGGGGGGCACCTCCGGCTCCGGCGTGGGGTCTCTTGCTCTCCTTGAGGAGCGGGATCGGGCCCGGGGGCGCCAGCAGAAGCCGCGACCCCTTGCCAGCGCGCCTCACCTGGAACCCCAGGGAAGGGCGGAGTTCCCAGAAAACGGAACGGCCAGGAGGAAAGGTGAAATCGCGGGTCTCATCATGCCCAGAGTATTTCTGGTGAAGAGGAGGAACCCGCTGCCGGCCAGTCGCAGCTGGGACGAGCTGCCCGACGAAGAGAGGGCCGACACTTATGTCCCAGGTAAGGCGGAGGAAGCAGCACACCTGGCCTCCCCCCCCCCACCGCACCTCGGCCTCAGCCGGGCTCCTCCCGCCGCCCCCAAACCGGTTAGGCTCTTCTCCAGGAGGCAGCAGTTGCCCCAAACAGCTTGGAAGCCGGATTGAGACCGGCTCTGAATCCTGGCTGCAGGGGACCCAAGCAACGGGCAGGGAAGAGAAGGGAACTCTGCATATGCTTCGATGCACCTTTGCTATCTCTTCGTAGACGTTAGAGCCGAGTCCGGCGTTGAAAAGTTTCTGCGGCTAAGCCCTGGCGGATCTGAAATCGGTTTCTGCAGGAGAAGTTATAACGTTTTCGCCTGCAGCCCCAACCTCCTTTCCCCGGGAGCGAGCCGTACCGAAGTCAATAGGAGTTACTTCTGAGTAGACACGCTTAGGAGCAGACGGGACGGGAGTCCCGTGGCGGCCAGTCTCCGCAGGGCTGCTCATAAATGCTGCCCCGCCGCCGATTTCCACGAGGCTTCGTCTGGCCAAGTTAACGCGAATCGGATTGCAGCCCCATCCTACCCGTGTATACTCAGAAGTGAACTCACTCCGAGCAAACATTGTTTGGCTCCGGCTTTGAGCCGCCCTTTCGGCGGATTGCGGTCTCAGGGGTCCTGAGGTCAAGGGCGGGGCTTCGGCGGCGGCTCTCGGCCGGGAAGGGACCGCGTGTCACCGTTTCACACGACCAGGGAGAGACCGAGCGGCCCTCTCTGGCTTTGAACAAGAGCCGCGCGGGAGGGCTGCTCGTCTCTCGCGCGCGACTCGAGGGCTGCCTTCCCCGAAAGGGCAAACGGAACACGTGTCACGACGACGCGGGAGCTGCGGCGGCGGCGCCTCGTCCGGAGCGGGCGGCTCGGCGGCGGGGGGCGCTCGAGGCGGAGCGCGGTGACCTTTGCGCTCGGCGGCGGGCCGAGCGTTCCCGGTTGCAGCGGCGAGGCGGGCGAGGCGCCGGGCGGCCTCGGGACCCGCCCTGAGATCAAACAGGCCTCGGGAGGGAGCGCCTTTGTTTGCCGCGCCGCCCCCGGGGAGCTCCTGGCCCCGGAAGGCAGCAGCCCCGCGCTCCAGGTGGGACTGCCCGGTGGGGATCAGGAGAAGAGGAAAGTGAATGGCCCCCAGTTAATCAGCCCTCATTCGGAAGATCATTATTTCACTTTCAGTAACTCAAGTTACCCCACCGCCATTCCAGAGCATTGCCATTAACTGTAGATTAGGAGAATTCTCCATTTCACTTACAAGCATAAAGGCATGTGCTGCTACAGGTGCACTAGGGGGTTTCTCTTCCTAGCCAGGGCTACCAGCTCTAGGGGGCCAAAGGCTCCTTGGCCCCCTCAATATTCGTTTTAAGCGGGTTGGGCCTCCTCAAGTCTTCAGGCATCCCTGTGCATGTTGAGCTATGCCAGTCCAGTGTCCAAACACTGGCCTCCTGTGTCATTCACATGTACACAATGCGCGCTGATCTTGGGAGCAACCTGGCACCTCTGCTCTCAACGGTCATTCTACCTGTGGTCACTGCTGGGGATACAGGCCTGCCTGTCTGAAGGCACTGCCATTGCCTGCAAGGGATTGCCACATGGTGGGGTTGATGTTGCCAGCCTTGCCAATGGGCCTGAAGCCAGCACATCCTTGGGGATCCTGCCACCTTCCATTCTATGTTCTTGACCAAGCCAGCATAGACATCACCGAGACAGAAGTGCAAACATGCTAGGAATGTAGTCTTGGAAGAGCACATCTTCGTATACATCGCATGTGGAAGGCGTTGAAGTGTCACTCCTGACAGTTGTTCGTTACCCGCAATTCACTTCCATAAAGCAGCATGCTCAACACACACACCTGGGAGACTTTCATCTTGGCGTTGGACATTAGCATCCCATTCTCCCATACCCTTACGGCCATTGCCATAACTGCCTTGCCAGTACACTTGTCCAGCTTAGCATCAATGGAGAGGTTTCTGGTTATGGTGGAAACCAGGTAGACAAAATCATCTACCGCCTCAAGTGTGTGGTCACCAGTGCAGTTGTGTTTAGTGCTGGTAATATCCTGACCCATGATGTTTCATCAGGCTGGCAGTAAAGCCGACCGAACGCCCTGCAAGCTTGGGGTGAAATGGTAGATCTTCCTCTGAATGTGCTGTCAAGGCTGCATCATCTGCAAACAACATCTCTTGGATAAGGACCCTCCACATTTGACAACTGTGAAGAAAGAGGTTTCTGCATTTGCTGTTGAGGAAATGAGGGGCAGATGGGGCTCATTAACCTAGGAAGGTAGCCCACCTAAGAGAAAGAAAACTGTGATCTTAAACCCTTACTGCCTTGTGGCTATACTCATTCATGAGAAAGGCTTCAGAGTAAGTTCTGAGGAATAATTAGTATCCACTGCCTTGCAGGACATCTTTGAAAGGCAGCCAAGGAAGAAACCCTACACAAATCGGCAGTGGAGTCCCTAAGGCAGTTGGATGGTGCCTTCTATGTCTCCTTCTGGCAATTCCTGCAGCCAAGCTGGTGCCAAATGTTTTGCTTTCCTTTGGACCGCATCAGTGAGGGCGAGGGGGGGGGGTCTTGTCATCTGGGCAGCCACATATATTACCCAGGTTTGCACCCTGGAGAGGTCACTTTACTGTTGCGAATGCAGCACAAACAACACGGGAGGCAGTTAGAAGGTATAAGCTCAACCCGATTGGTGTAAGGTACAAGATCTATGGGTTGCCTTTGTTGGTGGGAAAGATAATTGCGTCGCACTGGTCAGCTACTACCAGGCAGCCCTCAGTCAATAAAAGTGCCAATCTGGCACTGTCCACCTTCTGCAGTGGATGTTTGGAACCCAAAGAATAAGAAGCAAAAGAAGCAAAAGAAAAGAAACGAACCCTCCTGCACTTAGTAAGCTGGAACATCAGGACCATTATCCAGTGACCTGCTGCAGGTCAGTGACTCATGGAAGACAGCCATAATTGACCCTGAGCTGAAAACATTCAACGTCGTTTTACAGGCGACCAGACTTGCTTCGAATGGCAGCCTCCGAGAGAAGAACGACATGTTTTTCTGTCAAGGAGGGCATCTGGAAGAACCGCGTATTCCCAAAATAAGCCTCAGAGTGAGGAACTCCCTTCTGTTTGTGACAGAACCACCCAGCGATGGATCAGAACACTTGCTTTCCCTCCGTCTCTCAACCACCTCTGGGGTGGTCAACATCTTGAGCATCTATGCTGCCACTGTGTGCGTTGGCATACAGACCAAGGACCAGTTCTAGGAGAAAGTAGACCAGGCTATCAGGAAAGTTCCAGCCTCCAAACACCTATTCCTGCTGAGAGATTTCAGTGCCAGAGCTGGGGATGATCATCACACATGGAACAACTGCAGAGGCCTCTTTGATATTATTGGCAGCATGAGCAAAAATGGGCAAAGTCTGCTTGAACTGTGCTCACATCACAGCCTTTGCATCAGGGGCCTTTGCTTTCTCTACCAAGGCCAGGGAGGTGAGCAATGCCTCCCTACAACACGGGAGTGGTCTCTGCCTGTTTGAAGGAAGCAGTGGTAAAGCCACTCCTTAAGAAACCCTCACTGGACTCAGAACATCTAAGGAACTACAACTGCTGTTTTCCCCTTCTTGGGCAAGGTTATTAATTGGGTGGTTGCAGACCAGATCCAGGCACTCTTGGAGGAAACTGATTTTCAATATCCATTTAAATCGGGGTTTAGGCCTGGTTTTGGCACAGAAACTGCTTTGGTTACCCTATATGATAGGGTATCATATGCAGGTAGCATATGCGATGCCAGGGTGCAAAGATCTGCCCAGTCCCAGGCACGCCGGAGGGCGGAGCTGGCTAGCCGCCTCAGCGTCTCGCTGGCTCAGTCGCCCCCGAACTCGCGGTGCAGAGCCGCCTGCAGCAGAAGAGCCTGCCGTGGCGCTCCGACCAACGGGCAGGCTCTTCCCCAGACTCCACTTTCGGGCCCTGGACTTGGCCTGGCACCCCTGAGAGTCTTGCACCTGGGTGCCCCGTACCCCTAGCGCCTGTGGGTAAGTCGGCCCTGGTGATGACCTGTCAGGAGAGAGACAGGGGAAATCATAGAATTGTTGAGTTAGAAAGGACTCTTCTTGATGTAGTCGGAATCTCCTTTTTTGTAACCTGATTCCATATGATTCTACAGAAGCTTATGACAACCTTATGGTGTTGTTATCCAGCCTCCTGGCGGTGTTTTTAAATAAAGGAGCCCAGACAAGCTGCTCAGGTGTAGGAGGTATTTTGCAGACAACTGTGTTAAATATGCCGATATCAGAGGATGAGGCTGGTGTGGGAAAACAGTGTCAGGAGGAGGACAGTAGTTCCTGCTTCAAACTTTGGGAATCTAACATGCAGGCAACCCATTTACTGAAACTGGCTTTTTAAAGTCAGGTGTGATGCATAATGGTTAGCTTATTGTTCTGTATCCCAAGTCTGTGAAAGAGATCAGGCCCTATCAAATAAGTAATTCCAGGAGTACGATGCAAAAATCATTATGCATATGAATGCTCCCTGTTTCTGTCATTTAACCGTGGGCTCAATCTCCAGGAGAGGTGAAGCATGACCTTCTCAACTATCGCAGTGAAGATAGCTGCAGTTTAGAGAGCAGCAGCAGCAGCAGCAGCAGCAGGGACACAGAGGCTGCCAACACCTCGGCTCCTGAATCCACACCAGAGGAGGCACTCCTGGACTCGGCAGTGAACCGCCCCACAGTCAGATCCAAAATCAAGGTACAGACTGGCATTGAGAATGAAGGTCATAGGTGGTCAGGGGACAGGGGGCGGGCAGGTGTGGAGGACTCCCTGGTCCTGAATGGGGCAACTGTGCCCCTGAAGGACCAGGTGCGCAGCCTGGGAGTCATTTTGGACTCACAGCTGTCCATGAAGGCACAGGTCAATTTTGTGTCCAGGGCAGCGGTTTACCAGCTCCATCTGGTACGCAGGCTGAGACCCTACCTGCCCGCAGACTGTCTCGCCAGAGTGGTGCCCGCTCTGGTTATCTCCCGCTTGGACTACTGCAATGCACTCTACGTGGGGCTACTTCTGAAGGTGACCCAGAAACTACAACTAATCCAGAATGCGGCAGCTAGACTGGTAACTGGGAGCGGCTGCTGAGACTACATAACACCAGTCTTGAAAGGCCTACATTGGCTCCCAGTACGTTTCCGAGCACAATTCAAAGTGTTGATACTGACCTTTAAAGCCCTAAACGGCCTCGGCCCAGTATACCTGAAGGAGTGTCTCCACCCCCATTGTTCTACCCGGACACTGAGGTCCAGGGCCAAGGGCCTTCTGGTGGTTCCCTCACTGCAAGAAGCCAAGTTACAGGGAACCAGGCAGAGGGCCTTCTCAGTAGTGGCACCCGCCCTGTGGAATGCCCTCTCACCAGATGTCAAAGAGAACAACTACTAGAATTTTAGAAGACATCTGAAGGCAGCCATGTTTAGGGAAGCTTTTAATTTTTGATGGATTACTGTATTTTAATATTTTGTTGGAAGCCGCCCAGAGTGGCTGGGGAAACCCAGCCAGATGGGCAGGGTATAAATAATAAATTAATTTAAATTATATATGTTCCTTCTGTATGACATGGGGATCACATGTGCGGTTAATCTGACAAAATATTAGATGATTTTAACATTTCTAGACACCTATAAAGAAGCAACATTTAGACAAGCAGCACATGTTGAGGGACACACAGCAGGCTGGTCTAGCTAATTCGCCTGTCAGTATTGCTCCTGCAAGCTTTGAATTTTGCAAATAAATAACTAACTGTAATTGAAAATATCTACTCGTCACTGCTAGTGGAAAGTCACTTTCTTATACAATGACTATTGTTTGACTAGAAGCTGATTCCAGTTTTGGAGCTCTAGTCATTGCCTACCATTAATGCGTAGAGCAGCTACTCACCCTGTCCTTCCATCAGGTTTCATAAAGTTGGAATGTGATTTGTAGAGCATTGATACAAACCTCAGACATTTGCCAAAACTCAGATCAATGCGGTTGAGGGCCTCTGACCAAGTCAAGGCTACTGTTGGGCAAGACCTCATCTTGGAGCCTTTGGTACCGTTCCCCATGGTATCCTTTCGGATTGTCTTCCTGGGATTAAGAATTGGGAGCACTGTATGGCTGCTGAGTCCAGGGAGTAGTACTGGGATATTGCTTTTTTCATGCCCCTGGCAGTAAGGATCTTGCCTCCATACCCCTACCTCCATGTTATCATCCACACCAAACTTGTGAAAAATCACCAAAATTGTGAGAAATAAGAAATCATGCGAGTTAACATTCCAGTAGAGGAGCAGAAGGGGATCACAAAAGTTGTCTGATAAGAAATTATTTTTAAATTTTATTTTTTAAAATATCTATATGTCATTATCCCAAGGAAATAAGGCAACAGGCAGGGGCATAGTTTGTCAGTCGCAGATTGGCAGACCTAAAGTTTTGCAGGCTTGCTCCAGGACATACTTTAGTTCAGGCTAGGTAAGATCTGAGGGGCTTCACCAGCTCCTCAGTCAGGGCCTGTGACTCTTAAGATCCTGTTTTATTTTCCTCTCTTAGTTCACGACTGGCACTTGTGGCGAGGCCTTGTTGTACAACTGTGAGCTATGCGGCAAAGGATTTCGCCTGCAGCGCATGCTGAACCGCCACACCAAGTGTCACAGTCAAGTGAAGAGGCACTTGTGCACCTTCTGTGGGAAAGGATTCAATGATACTTTTGATCTGAAAAGACACGTAAGGACACACACAGGTAAGAAATGAGGTGCACTTTCCATTCATTGGGAATGTCCATAGGAAAGTTTGCTCTATTGACTGTTTTGTGTATTCATTTAAAGCATTTTTCTTCTACTCTTCTGGAAAAAAAGAAAAGTTCCCAGAGCAGCTTAGAAACCCCAGTGATAAAACAGATAAGCCCATTTGCTTTTTGCATATGAACACATCAAGTGTTAAAAACAGGAGTGGGGGACTTCAGGGCCAGGGCGCAAATGTGGACCCCTAGACCTCAGTGTCGAACTGTGGAAATCTGCCCAGGCCACACGCTCTTGTTGGCCCTGCTCTGCACCCTTCTCTAGTGATTTACCCCACTGGACTGTGGCAATACTGCTGGCCATGGCCTCTTCCCCCACCCCTGCTCATCTAAGGTTGCTAACAGGCAACTTGCAGCTCGCACACTTTTAAGCTGTGCAATCACAGCTTTATCTGCCTGGTGGCTGAAATTGCACCAATTAGACACACACAAGGCAGAGTGCTAAAAAGCGCTTCTGGGTAGGTTTCACATGAGTTCTAAGAGCCTCCAGAGCAAGGTGGACAGCAAGGCCTGTTGCCTTCAGGGAAGTAGGGGTAGTTGCACTGGGGCGCTATCCGGGGTCGTTCTGACTATACACGATTTTGGCTTTACAAGCAATCCCCCAGAACGTAACCCTAGCATAAGTTGCAAGCCTACAGTATTCCTTTGAAAAGGAGAAGCAAATACTAGCACTGCTGTGTGTATGCTCTGTTTTGTGTTTGTTTCAAATTAAAAGGCAGCGTTCAGCTAATGCAAATACTGCACAGTTAATCTTGAGCTCTCCAGCACGCTTTCCCCCCCAAAGGTTCATATTTTTTCCAATTTTATATAATTAATCATGCATTTTTAAACTAATTTCTAGATTTCCCCTCTAGTTTTGACAGCTTTGGGGAGGGAAAAGAAGCTATGCAAGACACTTAAGCCTGGTGCAACTATTATAAATATTACCCAGTTTCTCCCTTATAAGTATTTTCAAACGTATATTTTCAGCTATAAAGGATAGAAGCAAATTTCTGAGTTCTGCAGAAATATTAATTTTGTGGCCTGTACCACTTTCAGCCCTTTCCCCCAAAGAATTACAACATACACATAGCAACAAGAAACATCATCAGCTACAGTTTGCAGTGATCAAATCTGTAAATGTATGCAGTGGAGTTAAATGCTGGGGATTATTTTTAGAATGTTCCTTAAAGTTCCTAAAAATTACATTTCAGGAATCCGCCCATACAAATGTGAGATCTGCAACAAAGCCTTTACCCAGCGTTGTTCCCTGGAATCACACCTTAAAAAGATCCACGGAGTGCAGCAACAATATGCTTACAAACAACGAAGAGATAAACTGTATGTCTGTGAAGATTGTGGCTACACAGGCCCAACCCAAGAGGACTTGTACATGCACATCAGTAATATTCATCCTGGAAGTGCTCTTCTGAAGAAAACATCCAAAAAACTTGCAGCTGTTTTGCAAAACAAACCGACCTCTCCAATGGAGACGAGCCCAGAAGAGACTGTGGAGCAACAGTAATACTGCACTGCATTGTAGTGGCCAAATGAGTTGGAAGTTTACAATTGTCTGAAGTTGGGTTGCCAAGTGTCATGGTCTGACAAAACGTTTTAGTGGCCCCGTTGAAATCTCTAGAGTCTAGAGGAAGGGAAGACTGAAATCTCTTGGGCAGGCAAGCTAGCATCTGTTTGGCTTAAGAGATTTTAACTATTCTTACTGTTAGTACACACAGGCCCATTAGATCAGAATCTTCCCTTGACCTGTCAGCTGCTGCCTTCAGCCTACATCTGATGTCACTAAACTCTGCTCATAACCTTGCAGGATTTACCTACTGAGCTGCAAAGCGCCATCCTTTAAGTTCCCTATTCTCTGAACTCTAAGAGACGTGGCGACCCTGACCAGAACTGAATTCAAAAGGAAGACAGCACTCAACCTGGTCTGATCAAACTGTCTAGGTACTTAATTTCTGAACGTGAATAAAATCTCCCCAGTATGGGGCGAACATAGCACAGTACATGGCACAATCTGAATTGTGCTTCGTTCTCTCTCAGCCTTTGTACAGACATCTGATATGTGCCTTTGATAAAGAAACAGTTACCTACGGCTATAACGTATTTGACCAAAATAACTGTATTTAATTTGAATACAGGTAACTGGCCTAGAATTCAAATAAAATATATTTGTCAATAACACAATAACCATCATTGTATTCCCCCTCCCCACCAAAAAAACAAAGTCTGTTATGAAATATTCCAATAAAGTTATTTATGACTCTATTTGAAAGCCTGTTTTGTGTCCAAGCCTATGGTGGTGCTCCCTCTGTGGTGCCCGCCCAGCTCCCATTGTGCTTAGTGGGAAGAGAACTGAGCTATGCTAGCTAAAGGGCTGGTGTCAGAGGTGCTTCTGGGGGCATGTCGGGGAACAAAAGGGCTTAGGTGCCTGTGGATCCTCAGTCATGGCAGTGTACGTCCAATGCCCACACCAGCAGGGCATCTATGGCTGTGGAGCTTTCTGCAGGCCTACTGGGGTGGGATGGGGTGGCGTAAATCCCCTCCCTGCATCAGACTCCGTCTCTGCTGGTAGAGCAGGACCTCAATTGTATCCTCAGATGGCTCTTGGCTAGCTTTGGAATGGCACCCAAATTAGCAATAGATTTAAGTGTGGATTTCTACACAGCTATATAACCATATAACACAGGTCTAAAAAGACCTACACTGGCTCCCAGTATGTTTCTGAGCACAATTCAAAGTGTTGGTGCTGACCTTTAAAGTCCTAAATGGCCTCGGTCCAGTATATCTGAAGGAGCATCTCCACCTCCATCGTTCTGCCTGGACACTGAGGTCCAGAGCAAAGGGCCTTCTGGCGGTTCTCTCGCTACGAGAAGCCAAGTTACAGGGAACCAGGCAGAGGGCCTTCTCGGTAGTGGCACCCGCCCTGTGGAACACCCTCCCACCAGGTGTCAAATAGAAAAATAACTACCAAACTTTTAGAAGACATCTGAAGGCAGCCCTGTTTAGGGAAGCTTTTAATGTTTAATAGGTTATTGTATTTTAGTGTTCTGTTGGAAGCCGCCCAGAGTGGCTGGGGAAACCCAGCCAGATGGGTGGGGTATAAAGAATTAATAATAATAATAATAATAATAATAATAATAATAAGAAGAAGAAGAAGAAGAAGCTATTGAATCAGAGCTATGTCCTGGGAACACAATGTAATCCATCTATGCAACCATTTTTCATTCAGGCAATGTCTTCCTAGAATATACTGTTTGCAGTCAGGTCACCTCAAAATAGCACCTCAACAGTTTGGAGCAAGGCAGTCAGCGTTTGTGCAATTTCCAATTTAATCTGCTGCTTGGAATATGATTCACATTATAAACTTTTCACACAATGGAAATTACAGTGGAATCCCTCTACAGCAGGAGCAGTCCTGACCCCAGGGACGACTGATTTTGGTGTCAAGAATAATTCCACCCTCCCTTTTTTTACAGTAGACCCAGCATAAGATCTCTTCACCATGATGGAAGTTGTTAATCACCTGTCATGGATGCAAAAGAGTGGTGGAGAGGCGCCAGCTGGGGAACCCCCAAGGGAACCCCCAGGGGACTGGGGGTGGGATGACAATGACTGGTCAGAGAGAGAAGGCACAGCTGTGCTCCCTGCATCAGTGGCCCAGGCAGTCCATTGTACCTCAGCTAAGCAGAATTAACCAGAAGGGAAATTCTGTATGCAACCACGGCTGCCAGAATGAGCTTAATACCACCCACTATGTTTCCTGGTAGCGTTTAGTTCCTCCATTTGCTTCAAAGTAAAAAAAAGCAGTCTGCCTTAAAGGGGCTTAAATTAAGAAGGGTCACACAATTCCAAAGTCTTTCTCTTTATATTCTTCCAGGCGAAGCAGCCACTTGTTCCAGTACTGACAGCATAGCTCAGAGTCTATGTAATGTGCATGTGCAGGAGAACCATCTTTGTAGGCGACCACAAGGAGGCCACAGTCAACCTGAGGAACAAAGCAAGTTCAGCAGAAGTTATGCAAGCGAAATGCTCGGCAAAGTGACTTTTTTGTTCTAGGCTTAGTCTTCGACTCTTTCTACAGAATGAATTTGCTAGACATGCACATAGAGCTAACACTACAGTGGGATGGCAGTGAGTGGTAGAGCGCTCTGTGGGTGGAGGAAGCTTTTTCTATTAGCTCAGTCCTTACTCAGGCAACTTACCTGGTTTCCTTCTGGAGGAGGGCAGGAAGAGGCTCTTTCCCCATGCCCATCACAGAAACTAAGCAAACAAACTACTTTGCCCCAGCTCACCCAAGGTATAGCAACAATACCTTTTTCCCCTCCCCACCCTTCACTGTCCTTATTTTTCTGGAATGTCATAGGATAAAAGATTCACCTCCAGAATGAGCATGTGGAAATAAGAGGCAGCAAGTGCAAAAACTTATTTGAATTGTCATGCTACTCAGCAGCTGCCCAGATTACTGACCTGAAAGTTGTAATTGGCATCATGGTTAATGGCTCCTATGTATGCTGCAACCTGGAGTGGATTGTCAAACGTATTCCGAAGAAATGGTTTCGCTTTCCCTGATGTCTTCCATTCAATTGCACATAATTTCCCTCTGTGTGCCCAAGCGTAAAAAGAAAACACAGTTGTGAATCAGCCAGCCAAAATGCTTGTGCTTGTTACAGACCCTCCTCGCTGAGGGAGGGGGGTGAGGGCTTGTCCAACACCACACTGAGCAAGGGGCTCCCTGTTGGACAACCCCTCTTCTCCAGCTCCCAGTGAGATGAGGCTGCTTCCGGTTGTATAAATTCCATCAGCGAAGTTACTCATTGCTGACACAAGTGCTTCTAAAATCAGCACAACATAAGAGAGAGCCCATCCCAGGGCCCGGGTGAAGAGTGGGGACTTGTGCTGATGTCAGGCTGCAGAGCTTGTGGAAGCCACTCAGTTGCCTAAGGCAGAGGCAGCTCCGTCTCCTGTTTTGTTACTTCAACAGAGGTGACAATTTAGATGTGCCAAAGCTCTCTGGAGCCTCTCTCCTGATGGTCCCTTCATCTGATGAAGGGACTAAGGAATATAGGGTCCTTCAAGAGTGAAGAACTGTGGACAAGGTACCCCTGAAGAGTGCTTGTACACAATCTGAAGAGAAATCAGATTTAATGTATTTGTTTTCTGTGCATTTTAATCATTATTTTTTTTAAGGTGCTTGTATTGCAGCTTTGCTGCCATGGCAGCAAATACTAGGTAGCTTTACAGCAGTAAAATTTAAAAATGTAAAATTTATCGATCTACTACAGTGGTACCTCGAGTTACAAACGCCTCAGGTTATGAACGCTTCAGGTTACAAACTCCGCTAACCTGGAAGAGTTACCTCGAGTTGAGAACTTTGCCCCAGGATGAGAACGGAAATCGTGTGCCGGCAGCGCAGCAGCAGCAAGAGGCCCCGTTAGTGAAAGCACGCCTCTAGTTAAGAACAGTTTCAGGTTTAGAACGGACTTCCAGAATGATTTAAGTTCATAACTAGAGGTACCACTGTACTTGGCTATTATACCATTTTTAAAAAGCACAAACCATTTAATGCATGAAATAAATATATGCAAAGGTGGTACAAAAGCAAGGTGGCAATGACTATGCAGAATCCCCCTACACTTTTTCTCTGAGTGGCCTGTTTTGCTGGTCTAGTAAGTACAAAGCCACCCAATTTATTATTAGGGAAAAGGATGAGCTAATTGAGTCACTTTGCGCAAGCTACCTTGGCTTCACTCTTGACTCAACTCCCAGAGTTTGGGAGAGGATGAATGGGATGCGGTCTCCTGTGCCTCAGTTTGCAGCATGGGGCAGGTATAAATCTAGATAGTTTTAAACATTCAGGGCACAAGGCACCTGAAGTTAGACACTTTTGTCCCATTGGTTTCAATGGGAAAGCAAAGCATATGCTTAAGTCAACATGACTTTAAAGCATTTAACATGGTTTGGAGCGTTCACGTACAGTATTATGCAAAGTTAGCCTCTCACCGATATTCTGCCACACAATCCACTAGGCCTTGGTAATGAAGGGTCTCATGCTGTACCGCACTTTCAAGGACTCTCACTCCAGTAACATGTTGCAGTACATGCTGCACACTTCTTATGTAGCCAGATACATTGGTGTCTTCTTCCTGCTCCACAGAGATTTCTTCAGCTAAAAGTAAAGTTTCCATGGCTGCATGGAATAATTTACCTTGTTGAAAGATATCTGCAAAACAAGAAAAAATAATTATACCGAGTAATTATTCAAACTTTGGCTTTGCAAGGTTAATGCTGCACACATATATTGAACATATATTATTTCATAACCTGATTAATTGGAACTTGATGACTTGCAGATCAATGTATGAACTGCTTTGACTGAACAGTAGCATATTCATATTCATCTACTATATATTTTGATGGCTTGTGAATTTGTCCACTATACAGAGTATGAAAGTAATAAAAACAAAAATGAGGGAAGACAACTTGGGGTGTCAAGAGAAGGGCAGTATATGCTGTAATGCACATTCAAGGACTCTCACTTAACATCTTGTTAAATTAGGACTCATAGGGAAAATGCTTCATAACCCAAGACCCAAGGCACCCGACCCTCAATAATTTGTAAACAGCCTAAGCAACTAAGCATTCTAGTGCCAAGAATGACCTGATTCACAGTAGACTCCTGAAGAAAAGTCCCTTCTACTCCCTTAGCATTTGTTCTCTGTGTATTCAGACAGCTCTCAAGATATCATTGCCAAACTCTGCACAAGGGTTCCCAAAGTGGTCACAGCAGTTTTCATCAAAGCTGATCACCGGCCACCATTTTTAATCAAGATGGTGGTCCAAAATGTGACTCTAGCATGACTTTGGCCAATTTTTTATGTTAAGGGTCCAGTTTGAAGTGGCTTCACCAATCATGGTTCCAACCTGCACCAATTTCTACTGAGCCAGTCAGCTGCTGAAAACTAATAAAGTCTATAATGGGTGCTGTTACCTGGGTTGCACATTATGTCCCTTAACTATGGTTTGCTAATGATGGCTTGTTCATGAAAATAAGCCATGGTTTATTGCTGGCTTACTGACATTAACTATGACTTAGTGTTACATGTGAAAACAGGCACCTGTAGTCTGCTGTGTCACCCCACCCAAATCACTTGTCAAACAACAAAGGTGCTAGACAAGGGTGGCTTGAAAATAAAGCCACTCTCAGTTCCCAGCTCCTCTCACTGGTGCTTTTCCTGAAGCTGACATTGCTGGAAACTCTGCCTAGAAACTGGACTCCTTTTGCTGCTGAACTCCACTCCACTTAAGCTGAGTCACAGCTGCAGTTTAAGCTGGAGTTGCAAACATCTTTGAACAATCACTTTGTGACAGCTGCATGCTTGACTGGTTTTAGATGGTGAATGAACCAAATTTGTGAGCATGCTGTGACCCTTAAATTTCATCCCTTGTTTAGCTTGCATCTGATGCAGTATCTGCGGCTGAAAAGGTTTTAAGCTGCATCTGTCCTATGCGACCTTAATGTAAAGTTCTTGCAACAACAGCAGAAACCCTTCTGGGTGTGTTATATTTATGCTGTTAGGATGGGGATTCAAACAGATGGGCTTGCACAGTTGGAAAAGGGGAGGGAAGGGGATGTGTGTGAAGTGCTGTCTTGAAACAAATGCACTTTATCCAGGTAGGAAGAGCTCACAGCTTTGATAGCAAAGCACAGAAAGAAAATAGAGTTGGTGTTGAGCAAAATGAGGTTCCATTTCTGACACTGAATCGACTAACAGATTAAACTTACTGATGTGTGCATTAGTAAAAGCAGTCAAGGCCTCCAGCAGCAGAGGGGTAGGGGAAAGGAGGTGGTGATTTTTTACTAAATTACATTGCTGATTCTTACTAAACTCAGAACATGGAATCATTGATTAATTCGCCCCCTTTTCTCTTGGTGATTTCAATCAACCCACCCTAGGATGTTCCTAAATATATATATATCAATGCATTTAGTCATTGCTTACTTTTAGTGTATTCGGCAAAACCCTCTATCCCAAGTTCTAGAATCATCCGCTGTTTCCACTTCTCCAGATAAAAAGCTTGCTCCACAGGCATGGTCTGTTGTAGAACAGCTGTCACACTAGCCAAGTTTTTCCTTTGCAAACTGATTTGCAAAGGCGGTCCCGGAACAGTTTCTTGAGGCAAAGAGCTCTTGTTAGGATTCATTAGAGGACTCCAGTTCCTACAAACTTTTGGTTCATCCTCCTGGTCTGAGTTCTTATATTTCCTTTCTGGTCCATTTAGCATGTTATCTTCTTCAAATACCAATTCAGGTCTTTGAGAACTGTCTTTGTAGGATGTGAGGTAGTTGATCAAATCTCTGTATTTTTCTTGGTCAATGTTTTCATACCGGATGGTTGTTTTCTTCTTCCCATAGAGAGAGCACGAAGCAGCAAGTGATCTAAACCTGAATCCTTCCTGGTTCAACATTCCTCTCAGCAACATTGGGACTCTCCAACATTTTCTGTTAATGCAGAGAAATGACATCATACTGCAAGGCAGTATTTACAGAAGGCTGACTCCAGAAGGTGTTTCATTGAGAAATGCTTCTACTTTCCCATAATTCTCCTATTAGATAAATATAAAAAGCTTTGGTTATTTGCTGTGTGCTGTCATCGGGTCTGCCACTACTACTGTCAGGGTGATACATCAAATATGCTTCAGACAGCAGATTTTGAGGTAACAGTAAAGTGCAGCAAAGTATGACATATTCAAGAAATAATTGCATTTTACCACCAAGAGGGGCACAATTTAATCCTAAAATGTATTGGGCTCTCCAACTACTATCATGTCTTCTTAGCTGCACTGACAATTCTCTCTGAGGCACATTTCCTCAGAAGGAAGTGCAATTAGTATCAGAGATAACCCGTTTCCCCCCCAAACCTGGGTCTCCAGCTTTTTTCGGACTACAAGTCCCATCATCCCCGACCATGAGTCCTGCAAGCTAAGGATGATGGGAGTTGTAGTCACCACGGTCGCTTTCGCAGCTGAATAAAGCCGGAGCCCTGAAGAAGAGCAGTCGAAATGGGAAGCGGCTGAGGGAAGAAGATGCGTCTAAGCGGCTGGAGCGAAAGACAACTCCTTAAGGGCCACCTGAACAAGAGGCGGGAGTCACCCGGCTCGACCTCCACGTCCCACGGGAGCGACACCGGCCTCAGACGAACATCCCGACGGCCTCCTTCAGCCGCTCGCCTCACGACGTCACTTCCGCCCGCCTTGTCCGCCGGAAGCGAAGACAGGCGAGAGGGAAAGGAGAAGGCGAGAGATAGAACATAGTGAATGATACGCGCGGGAGGATATTCCGGGTTTCAATACACTTCACCTTTCCTCTCCCCGCCCACCCGACGGGAGGAATTCAGAGGCAAAACATAGTTCCTGTCCTTACTCGGTGGGCATTTTCTTCTTTGTGTGCTTCAAGCCATTTTGCATAGTGCCATTTAGTAAAAGCTTTCCTGTGTTGGGAGGCCTTTCTGTGTCGGGAGGGATCCGCACAAGCCTCTTGTCTTTGACCACAAAGGGACAGGCTTCCAGGTTTTAGGGGGGCCCTCGGCAAAGCGCCCCCAAACAGCCTCTCCACTGGCATGCCTGGACAGCTCTTCCAGTGCCCCGCCACGCAGCCGCTGCACGATGCGGGTGGCCCTCCCCAACCCGCCTTCCCCTGGAGATGCAAAGTGCCCCCCCTTCCCAAGCCGTCAGGTCAGTCAGCTGAGAATCAGAGCTCACCCCCCGCTCTCCGCTCACCTGCAGGGAGTCTGCCCTGGGGGTGCGAATTTGGAGGCCACACCCACCGCTGCCAGGTGACTCCTGCGAGGTTGTTGTTTAGTCGTGTCCACCTCTTCGTGACCCCATGGACCAGAGCACGCCAGGCACTCCTGTCTTCCACTGCCTCCCGCAGTTTGGTCAAACTCATGCTGGTAGCTTCGAGAACACTGCCCATCCATCTCGTCCTCTGTCGTCCCCTTCTCCTTGTGCCCTCCATCTTTCCCAGCATCAGTGTCTTCTCCAGGGAGTCTTCTCTTCTCATGAGGTGGCCAAAGTATTGGAGCCTCAGCTTCACGATCTGTCTTTCCAGTGAGCGCTCAGGGCTGAATTCCTTCAGAATGGATAGGTTTGATCTTCTTGCAATCCATGGGACTCTCAAGAGTCTCCTCCAGCACCATAATTCAAAAGCATCAATTCTTCGGCGATCAGCCTTCTTTATGGTCCAGCTCTCACTTCCATACATCACTACTGGGAAAACCATAGCTTTTACTATACGGACCTTTGTTGGCAAGGTGATGTCTCTACTTTTTAAGATGCTGTCTAGGTTTGTCATTGCTTTCCTCCCAAGAGGCAGGCGTCTTTTAATTTCGTGGCTGCTGTCACCATCTGCAGTGATCATGGAGCCCAAGAAAGTAAAATCTCTCACTGCCTCCATTTCTTCCCCTTCTTTTTGCCAGGAGGTGATGGGACCAGTGGCCATGATCTTCGTTTTTTTGATGCTGAGCTTCAGACCATATTTTGCGCTCTCCTCTTTCACCCTCATTATAAGGTTCTTTAATTCCTCCTCACTTTCTGCCATCAAGGTTGTGTCATCTGCATATCTGAGGTTGTTGATATTTCTTTTGGCAATCTTAATTCTGGCTTGGGATTCATCCAGCCCAGCCTTTTGCATGATGAATTCTGCATATAAGTTAACCAAGGGTGAATGCAGCCCTTGGGCCATAGAGGGGTGTGTTGTGTTGCGTGTTGTCCAGGCTTACATCGCGACCTGCTGCCCCGTGGGTCCTGCCGCCGAAAGGCGGTCGCCTCAGCTCTCCTCCTGGGCGGGCCGGCGCTGCCCACCTTTCCTCCCCATCCCCGGACACGGAACTCAAGGCGGCTTAGGGAGGAGACGATGCGCGGACAGCTGCGAACGGGGCTCGTCTATCCTTTTCTTATCTCTAGGGCGGGGGCGGGGCCGCCTCCTCCTCCCGAGCGGCAGAAAAGGCGGCGCGCGGGGGCCTCCGCGGCTGCGCAGTGAGGGCCGCCGAGGCAAGGCGCTGTCATGTCTGTGGCCGCGAAGGGGCAGCTGCCGCGGGAGGAGGAGAAGGGGAGCCGGGAGAAGGTGAGTCTCGCGCGGTGCAGGGACGGGGAGGGGAGCCGCTCTCTCCGGACTTGGCCTGGGGGGGGGGGAGAGGGAAGCCTCTCCACAGCCCCGCCCGAGAAGAAGCGCTTCGCTTCCCGTCCCCTCCCCCCCGCTTCTTTTCCCCTCAGAGAAGCGCTGCTCTGTCAGGCGCCCGCATATTTTGAGGGGGGGGAGGGAATGCGCGCGACTTTTACCCAACTGAACCCCCCCCCCCAGGCCAAGGCGCGGAGCAGAAAAAGGCCTCCGGAGTCCGGGCTGACGGCTCCCAGGGAGCGAGTCGGTTCCGCTTCGCTTGTGGACGGGCGTCGCTTCCTGGGAGGGGGCCGCTTACTTGCGCCTGCCTGCACGTGTGGACGCGGCCGCCCCGCTTCCTGCGCGTCGTCCGGCTCCCTCAGGCGGTGTCTGCTTCAGTGGCGTAGCGTGGGTTGTCAGCACCCGGGGCAAGGCAAGTAATTTGCGCCCCCTAACCCGTGGATTTGCGCCCCCTAACCCCCAGATGTTGCTCCCGGTACGGCCGGCCCCCCCTGCGCCACTGGTCTGCTTCGTCCTTCCCCTGTCAGGCTCCTTTTCTCCCAGCGCGACTCGGCCGCTCCGAAGCCGAAGCGAGGGCTGCGGGGCCTCTGCCTCAAGGGCGGAGCTGCCCCATCAAGAGGCGCTTCTGGGGCTGCGCCTCCAGCGCCGGTGGGTCGGGCTGCAGTCCTGACACGGGGCGATGCGCTCGTAGGAAGCTGCCTTCTTCCACCATGCCAGGCCTGTGGTCTGCTAGCTCAGTACTGCTGGCAGGGGCTGGCCGAGGGATTCAGCCCGGACACAGATCCAGTGCTGAGGGCCGTCTGGCGGTTCCCTCATTGCGAGAAGTGAGCTTACAGGGAACCAGGCAGAGGGCCTTCTCGGTAGTGGCGCCCGCCCTGTGGAACACCCTCCCATCAGATGTCAAGGCAATAAGCAGCTGTCTTATCTTTAAAAGACATCTGAAGGCAGCCCTGTTTAGGGAAGTTTTAAATATTTAATGCTGTATTGTTTTTAACACTCGATTGGGAGCTGCCCAGAGTGGCTGGGGAAACTCAGCCAGATAGGCGGGGTATAAATAATAAATTACAGTGGTACCTCTGGATACGAACGGGATCCATTCCGGAGCCCCTTTCGCATCCTGAAGTAAACGTAAGACACGACTGCGTGTCTGTGGTTGCGTTTTGCCACCTCTGCGCATGCACGTGACATCATTTTGAGCGTCTGCACATGCACGAGCGGCGAAACCCGGAACTAACACACTCCGTTACTTCTGGGTTGCCGCAGAGCCCAACCCAAAAATAATCATCACAGAGATACTTCAACCCCAGGTATGACAGTATTGTTGTTGTTGTAGTTGTTAGCCGCCCTGAGCCCGGCTTCGGCTGGGGAGGGCGGGATATGAATAAAAATTTATTATTATTGTTATTATTATTATTATTTGGCCGAGGTTCCCTCCGAGCCCTAAGGACTGAACTTCCTGTATGCAAAGGAGATGGACGCCTGTTGCTGGAGGTGTCCGGTTTGGCCAGTGTGACACGCCGCCCTAGTGATGTCCTCTCTGTGTGGGGCTGCGCTTGAAAAGTGCTCAGGGACTCCAGCTGCCTCAAAGAGCTGCAGCCAGATTGTTATAGGGGAGCAGACGACTTGCTAGAAGAAGCTCCCAACTGGCTACCAGTCTGTTTCCGGGCACAACTGAAAGTGCTGGTTATGACCTGGAAGACCGTATTCCCTCATACATACCTGCCCAGGTTTGGAGATATTTGGGGGAGGCCCTTCTCTTTGTCCTTCCACCCTCACAGGCAGGCTTGGTGGGGATGTTCTCGGTGGCTGCTCCCAAACTTTGGGGCTCCCTCCCTAGGGAATTTAGATTAGCTCCATCCTTCTTTCCTTCCACCAGCAGGTGAATACTTTTCTGTTACAGCAGGCTTTGGGGAACTGACTGTTTTTAATGAAAGTGCTGGTGCCTTGCTGTTTTTTTTGTAATTATTGGTATGATTTTAATATATTTTATATCTGTATATAGTTTTAATTCTATCAGTAGTTTTTCAGTGGGTTTTTTTCTTTGTGCTTTTCGAGGTTCTTGTTTTAATAATAATAATAATAATAATAATAATAATAATAATAATTTATTATTTATACCCCGCCCATCTGGCTGGGCCTCCCCAGCCACTCTGGGCGGCTTCCATAGAAACCAAAAATACAGTAAAATATCACACGTTAAAAACTTCCCTGAACAGGGCTGCCTTAAGATGTCTTCTGAATGTCAGGTAGTTGTTTATCGCTTTGACATCTGCTGGAAGGGCGTTGCACAGGGCGGGCGCCACTACCGAGAAGGCCCTCTGCCTGGTTCCCTGTAGCTTTGCTTCTCGCAATGAGGGAACCGCCAGAAGGCCCTCGGCGCTGGACCTCAGCGTCCGGGCAGAATGATGGGGGTGGAGATGCTCCTTCAGGTATACTGGACCGAGGCCGTTTAGGGCTTTAAAGGTCAGCACCAACACTTTGGATTGTGCTCGGAAACGTACTGGGAGCCAATGTAGGTCTTTCAAGACCGGTGTTATATGGTCTCGGCGGCCGCCCCCAGTCACCAGTCTAGCTGCCGCATTCTGGATTAGTTGTAGTTTCCGAGTCACCTTCAAAGGTAGCCCCACATGGAGCGCATTGCAGTAGTCCAAGCGGGAGATAACCAGAGCATGCACCACTCTGGCGAGACAGTCCGCAGGCAGATAGGGTCTCAGCCTATGTACCAGATGGAGCTGTAAGTCAGATTGAGTCATGTCAGAGAAAAAGGAGGGGAATAAATAAACAATGCCAGTGAACTGCAGCCCATCTCCAGTCAGTTTACTTTTAAAATTTGTTGTGCTTAAATGCAAAGAACTACTACCATCTTGTTCAGTTCAGCCCTAGATCAGTGGGACTTCTTGTGCAATTCTCTGCAACTTTACTTGGAAGCAACTTCCACTGTTTTCAGTAAGGCTTATTCTTAGGAAAGTGTGCATAGAATTGCAGCCTAAAATTTATTTTTTAGAACGTATATACCATTGATTGATAAAAAAACACACACACAACCCCCCACTCAAAGCTGTTGAATGCTAAGATTATGCTGTGCCCACATTTTTAATATGCCTTCATCTTAACATCAAGTCGACCTCAATTTGTGACCCACATTTTTATATTTTTAATAGAATAATGCTTAATAAATCCTTACAATACGTACTGTGGTTCCCCAGATGGTGTTGGACTGCACTGCAACTCCCATCATAGTTTCTGACTGCTGCCAGTTGAGTGTGTTGGCTGAAGCTAATGGAACTCGTAAGTCCAACAGCACTGGAGGGCTACAGCTTTCCTTCCTTGTTTGCCTGGGATCATTAATTATTAGCCTGCAGGCAAAGTCAACTCTGAGTAGGAGTAGCAGTGCGTACCACAAGTGGACATGCTGGAAACCAATCTGCACGTAATGTGAAGTGATCCTAAATTGCACTATGAACTTCATGCATAATCTGTTGCTTATTCTGGAATAGAGTGTTATCTGAGCGGAAGCTGTTTCTTTTGTCCAATATCCTTCCCCCCCCCCCATGTACTCTGCAATATATATTGTTTTGACAACAGAATGTGCCTGGGCAGTTAAGATAAGTAACTTCAGAATAGCTGTATAAACCTTTTGGCAATTGAATGTGCTGACATGGCACACAGTCTACGGGCAACTCCTGTTTAGTGTACGTTCAAAGAGTGTGTGACCGTAAATGCTGGAGTTGTTTTTGGACCCGGAAGTGGGCAGGGTGGGCTTATGCGCACTCCACTGACGTGTGCGATGACCCAGAACGTAACCCCCACACAAAATGGGGGTTGCCTGTATATACATGTAACTTCAGAAGTGCAGGAAGCCCTGATCCAGCTAGGTGACAGAAGTTAGGGTCTATTTTTTTCTTAGAGTTTCAGAGCATGGGACAATGTAGTACATCAAACAAGCAAGAATATACCACAAAACAAAAAGAAAATCTAGCCAGTTAAACACTCCAAAAGGCAATAGAAGAAAATTAAATGATGGGTAGGGTGGAAGAGGAAAGGGTAGAAGATTGAGATGGTGTAACAGCTTCCCCCAAAATGCGTTTTGAGTTCAGAGGGAAGCTAATATGACCACCTGCTACATTAATAAGGAAGGGGAACCAAATTGGTTGAAAACTCTGTCCGTTTGAGCCTGTTGAGCACCAAGCTTCATAGGTCTGTTCCTCACACAGGGCAACATACAATATACCAGGCTGTAAGTGTAAAGTCAGATGAACTTGGAGGGGGGAAAAGATGCAAAATATTAATTAATTAGCAATTTGTCTGTTTTCTGAATGGCAGCAGGCAGGCTTTTCTCTACCCTAGACCTGCTACAATACTGAGAAGTCTAGTGCAGACATGACTAAGAATTTTTTGCCACGCTCCCTGTTGGTCCAAGTTCGTAGAGGCACATAGCAGCAGCAAATGTGACGACGTGGACATGACCATACTTGTGCACACTTTTTGTACACATGGGTCACAGACATGCATACATATAGACAGGCGGCACTTTTATGCACTTTTATGTGCATGCTGCATCAGCATTTGAAACTAACCGGGAGCCAGTCGCCTTTTGGAACTAAGGAGCGCCCCCTTGTGACCAAGTGGAGATAGAAATCCTGCCACTTGTTTGTGACAGAAATCACCACCACAGGAGCGCAAGAGTAGTGTTCCTTGCTGACTAAAACAGCTGAAAAGCTGTCACCAGCTATTGAGCTTTTGGCTTTCCTTTTCATCACTGCTCCCCTGAAGCCTTTTCAGGGCTTTTTCTCAGCTTGAACTCACCGAAACTCAGTTTCAGCACCTCTCAGGTGGGCATCATTGCCATTCTGAGAGAACGAGTGAGGTGTTCATGGTGAGTTTTGGCACCTCTTTTTCTAGGAAAAGTAGCACTGTGCCTTTTGATGTGCTGAAGAGACTCCCTTGTGGTACTCTTGGCATAAGTAAACAAAACTCTTTCACATGGTTAAATGGATTCCTTCTCACTTGGGAGCTGGGAGTGGTATGAACAGCTAACTTTGCAGGTAGCAACTGAAGACTGTCCTTCTGTGGTCTGGCCATTCCCACTCTCTACCCAGCATTCAAAAGGCAATAGCAACTCATTTTTCAGCCTGCCCACCCTAACCTCTCCCTCAGCCCCTGTCTGTCTTTGCTCCGCTGTTTCGTTTCTGTTTCCTTTCCACTCGGCTCAGCTTTCAGTTCCTTGCTCCTAGATCAGGGGTCAGCAACCCGCGGCTCCAGAGCCGCATGTGGCTCTTTTACACCTTTGCCGCGGCTCCGGGACGGATACTAGCGAGGGGAGGAGGCGCATTGTGCGCCCCAACACTCCCCACTGTGGCAGGCGCTGTACTGGCTGTGACGTCGCATGGGGGCGGTGTGTGCGTTAGTCACGCACCGTCCCGACGTCACCTTCCCGCCCGCCCGCTACATTGTAAGGGGCATGTAAGCTGGTCACTGCATTGAAAGGGGGCATGTACGCTGGTCACTGTTTTGAAGGGGAGTGAAGAACACACACACAAAAAAGGTAACTTGTTAATTTAACGTTTATTTGTTTATTTCTATGAGGAGGAGTAATTCTGAGGGGTCAAACAAAGAAATAATAAAAAAGTGACAAAAAAGTTATTTTTATAATGACGAGTTTTGCGGCTCCCAGTTTTTTTTTCTTTGGAAACGGGTCCAAGTGGCTCTTTTTGTCTTAAAGGTTGCAGACCCCTGTCCTAGATAGACGACATCTGATTTTTCACATTGTGATATATCACTATTAAAAAATTCCTTTGAGTAGCACCTTAGAGACCAACTAAGATTGTTACTGGTATGAGCTTTCGTGTGCATGCACACTTCTTCACATACCAAGAACTAGTGATATATCACTAGTTAACCATCGCAATACAGTACACTAATATATTACAACGTCTGAATTAAGGAGGGGCAGCTGGGCTGTGGAGGGAGGGAAGGTGCAGGCAGGCAGAGGAGCACCTTCTTAGGCTTCCTCTGCCAAGGCCACCACAACGTGAATCGCTCTCTGTGGTCCTTCACAGCAATCGCCGCCCAACAGAGCTTCACGCTTGCAAGCTCAAAATTTTTGAAACTGTTACCGCGATCTGATCTTCAGACCGGTTTCAGACAATGTATTGATACATCACACAGCCCTAGTTATGTCTCTGATTTCCATATATATATATATATATATATATATATATATATAGTGGAACTCAGAGAGAGACCTCAGTTGAAGATCTTAATGCACTAAGAGTGGTGTGGGAGGAGGTCATCAGCATACATGGGGGCAAGCAGTTTTGATAAACAATGTTGAAATTAATTCTAGCCCTTCTTTTGAAATAAATTTTGAAATAAAATTCAAATTAACTTTCTGCCAGTCCTGCATAGGCTTCTCTGAGATTGCAGTATACAGTGGTACCTTAGATTACAAACGCTTCAGGTTACAGACTCCGCTAACCCAGAAGTAGTACCTCGAGCTAAGAACTTTACTTCAGGATGAGAACAGAAATCGTGCTCCGGCAGCGCAGCGGCAGGAGGAGGCCCCATTAGCTAAAGTGGCACCTCAGGTTAAGAACAGACCTCTGGAACGAATTAAGTTCTTAACCAGAAGTACCACTGTAATTCTAAACTACCTAAATGTCATGCTGCTCCTAAGGAAAGAAAAAAAAAGTAGTTTTATCTTCCCCACCCCCAAGTCCTGTTTTTATTCAATTGATCTTATAATAACCCTCTCATATATTTTTCATGTATTGTTACTGCTAATGGTTACAAATAGAGATTGAACTCTGGTAAGGACAATTTTTTAAAGAAAAGACAGCTGTTCCATCTCCTCCCAGAGATATGTTCACCTTTTCACTTTAGTGGGTCTTTCCTATCAATCACAAGTTGCAGTGCCTGCTCAAGTGCCAGTTAGCAACACCCCTGGTGCCTGGCACCAAAGGACTCCTCAGCAGCAGTACCACAGTAAATAGGTGACCCGAAGGTTGCTTCCAAGAATTGCTATTCCTATCCCATCCTCCTAGCTGAGGTTTGACAGGTATGGAGTTGGATGTAGGAAGCTATTGCTGAGATCTCCAGCCTTCTAAATTCCTTCTGCTTTCATTTCAGATGAGGTCTGTTTCTGTGGATCTAAATATTGACCCTTCACTGCAGATTGATATCCCTGATGCTCTCAGTGAAAAAGACAAAGTGAAATTCACAGTCCATACTAAGGTAAGATGGCAGGGAAGAAGGTTAATTAATGTTGGAACAAAGCTACAACTTTGCCGTGTTGAGTGACCAAGGTAACTTCTATGAAGTTACAGATTAGTGAACATGGCTTGGAAAATAGCACTTAACCTCACATAAATTGAAATGAAAGCATTTTTTATGCCAGTTTTTTTAAAGATGATGTGCTCTGTCTCTCCAAAATTATCTCTTGGGAAATTTTCCTTCTACTTTTTATTATATTTTATTTTTCACTTGCTTCCATATACAACTAAATACCTCTTGTACTTAATCAAGATTGAGCAATGTGTTGAAAACCACCTGAAAAGCTATATATCACGTTTTTAAACCAATATATATATCCATTTATATAAAATTCAAAAATGAACATGGCCAAAATAAGAGAGATTTTGTTTAAATTGAACAAAACAATATATTTCAGGGATGGTGTTGCTCATGGGTCATTTTAAGATCGCTGGTTTGGGGTTAAGAAATTTAGAGAAAACTGGTTTTTTGGTTCAATTGTTTAATCTTCACTTTATATTCACACATTATATTTACTGATTTTAATAACATGTTAGTAATTTCAGATTTTTGATTTAGTAGGGGGCAAGATTTGGGACTTAGTTTTAAATTTAAATCAGTTAGTCTTTTCTATTTGTTGCATTGGATCTGATATGGGGATATGGTTGAACAGCAAGTGAGAAAGCTAATAGTGGAGTTTTGTTGTAGAAGGGCTGTAACTCCATTTCTGGCATTAGAACAAATTTCTTCATCTCTTGTTCTAGAATCTTTATTTTAACCGGTGTTTCTTTACACCTGGGTCCGTTTGGTGTTCTCGGGGGTTCTAGTTAAAAAAAAAAGTAGATCCTAAAACCTTGAAGGTCTTCCCACCCATGTTCCAGCTTAACAGTCTCAAATCCTAACTACTATTTTATTATTTTTATTTTTTGTATTAATGAGGTCAAAGGAGTAATGATTTTCTGCTTTTCAGACTACATTGCTCAGTTTTTCAGAGCACAGAATTTTCTCCGTTACAAGGACAGCATGAAGATTTTGAGTGGGCTGCATGATACATTTATTGAGAACAGAAGGAGTTATTGCAGGACTATTGAAGTACTTACAAAATCTGATTTAAATTGCAGGCATCTTTGCTAAACAATGAAAAATTGCAAGTTGCAAACAAGTATAATTTCTGTGGGTTTCTGATTTTTTGTTTTTAGAATTGTCATTAGTACTGATTTCTTAATCTCAGTTGTATATTGGTATATATCTGTAGCCTTGAAAATTCATTTTTCAATGCATTTGAGTTGGGGTTGCTATGGATATTTTCAGTTATGCTGCAGTTCTGTACCCAACTTAACCTGGGGATTAACCCCATTTGGGTTCAGTGAGACTTACTTCTGAGTAGACATGGGTAGGATTGGCACTATTAAGAACCAACATTTCAACTCTTTAAATTAACTAATTTGAGTTTATCAAATTAATGAAAACCTTATTGAGGGCAGCAGATGATAATTAATGAAATAGGTTGATACTATGGTGGATCTTTTGTGAAATTCCCGTTCCAAAAGGAGATCTGAGAAGAGCCAGAGATGTGGATTCGCGTAAGTGCAGTTAATTTTCTTTATTTGTTAATCTTTGAATTGTGTGCTTTTCTGAGTTTTTCTTCCAGTTTTAAAATAAAATGTAATTGTACTATGGTTGGTTTGAATTTTTTAGCTTGTTGGGTTTTATTGAAGACTGAATGTAGTTGAGAAATGACATATACCATAATTTTTTCGCTTATAAAGCAAAAAATTATGTATGAAGCTTGAACTGGCAGGGGGCATGGAGCGGAGAACATAAACACGCACGTAGCTTTTAGAGGAGGAAATCCACGTAGAGCACGACAGACACCGTAGGCATTCCTTCCGATGAAACGCACAGACATTCCCTTTACTTTTTAGGAGGAAAAAAGTGAGTGTTATGGTTTTGCAAAAATACGGTTATGTTTAGCAGGAGAGTGCTGTGTATGCTTGTGTGTTGGCTAGAGTGCTGTTCTCAGTTTCAGTCCAAGAGCATTTTGACCCCCTACAAGGCAGTTTGCCCTATTTTTTGTGCAAGGGGCTTCATTAGACAAAGGCAATGAGATTATTGTCGGAGACTTCTGCACTTAAATTTCATCATTTTAGTGAGATTAGGGACACACTAATATGAACATACTAACTTTTTTGAGATGCAGTTTTGCAATTTTACTTGCAATGTTGCTACCTCTCCACACTGTCTATCCTCAATCTCTGTCCCACCAGACTGTTAAGTACAGATTTGCCCTTAGAACACTCTGCATACATTGGTCAATTTTAGTTCCTTTCAATCTTTCAGCATTTACACTGCTGTTCTTATAGAGAAATATTGTATTACTATACTGTACCTAAGTTATTTATTGTTATTTATTTACTTTATAACAAATTATATACTATTCTTAATTACAGTAGGAGACACATACAATTGACTAAATTGACTAAAAGCTATTATTCTTATTAATTCTATTAAAAGAAAAAAAAAAAAGTCTTTCAGAAACACTGAAAGTCAACGAGAGGTTGGCTTTTCTGACCTCACCTGGAAGGTATTTCCATAAAAATTAAGGGATGGTTTGACTTGCAGTGTTTCTTGTAGAAATTGCTAGAAACAGTAGAAATTACTGAAGTTCTCTTCATGATCGAGTCCTAAAGGACGTAGCTGGTGATCGAACGCTGGTTCACCGTGGCGTCGGTCGGAACCAATAATCAGAGGCCTTCTGTGGCTATATGAAACACTGGGGCATAAAATGATGGGGGAAATTTATGTTACAAAGTGCAAAGATAACATGGAAGAAGGAATGGTTGAATTGGGGGAAAGGGCAGCAACAGCAGATGCAATTTCTCCTCTATGCAAAGTGTCAAATACCTCTGATCATTTTTGATTCCTTTTCTCTCCAGCTCCTATACACCTTTTTGAAAAGAAACATATTAAACGGCTTCATAGCAAGTGTGTGTGTGCGTGTATAAAAAACATCTGGCTACATAGGAGAATTTCCTACTTCTACCCCTCCAGGCTTTTGGACAGAAATCCAGGGAATATTCTCATGACTACTTGGCAGTCCAGGCAACCCCCCCCCCAATCTCCCATTTGGGTGGGGGTTACGTTTGGAGCAGGGCTTTTTGTCAAGTGGGTGCCACTGCCATGCTAAGAGAAGGAGGGAGGTGTTCATGGTGAGTTCTGGCACTTCTTTTTCTAGGGAAAACAGCATTTGTTTCCGAGGCACCACACACACTGGTGAAATTGCAAACGATTGAAAACCCATTGGAAAAGACCACAGACACCCTGTCCCACCCTTTGAGAGATTTTCCAGTGACATCTTTACAACATTTTGGGGTCCCTTATGGGTTCGTTGTGATGTGCGTGTGTATGCTGAACCCGTGCAGTGCTTTTTTCTGGGGAGACACAGGGGTAAGCATACCCCTAAACATTTTGTCAATCAAATGGGAGAATAAACTAAAAATATTAAATTTTTAGTTGCTTCTCTAGTGCAGTGAATCTGTTGCTACCCCCAACGGCGGCCTCATTTCCTGAGTCTCAGACGGAAGTGAGCGTTTAATGTATGAAGCAGTGTAGAGTGTGGATGTGTGGAGTTTTACTGATGGAAGTTTGGCCTCATTGAGGGGCAGCATTTCAATACGAGTAGGAAAATTACTGTGAGCTGTCAGCTGTGTAATACAGTGGTACCTCAGGTTAAGTACTTAATTCATTTCGGAGGTCCATTCTTAACCTGAAACTGTTCTTAACCTGAAGCACCACTTTAGCTAATGGGGCCTCCTGCTGCTGCCGCGCCGCTGGAACACAATTTCTGTTCTCATCCTGAAGCAAAGTTCTTAACCCGAGGTACTATTTCTGGGTTAGCAGAGTCTGTAACCTGAAGCGTATGTAACCCGAGGCACCACTGTATTCTCCAGTGATAGGTACAAAAGACAAAAAGAAAGAATGATACAGTGGTACCTCGGGTTAAGAACTTAATTAGTTCCGGAAGTCTGTTCTTAACCTGAAACTGTTCTTAACCTGAAGCACCACTTTAGATAATGGGGCCTCCCGCTGCCCCCGTGCAATTTCTGTTCTCATCCTGAAGCAAAGTTCTTAACCCGAGGTACTATTTCTGGGTTAGCGGAGTCTGTAACCTGAAGCGTATGTAACCCGAGGTACCACTGTATGAGGTAATGATGCATGTTCTTTGAACTTTTGTCCATTTACTGTATTTATTTCCCCCGACTTGAACTGTACAATGGTGATTTTCTTGAGTCAAAATGAGAGTACCCCCCCTAAACATATTTTTTTAGGGGGGAAAGCACTGAACCCGTGTAAATTTGGGGGGAGGGGGCGTGCCCGCTGCCTGTGCGCCTCCCACAGCCATCTTGCCCGTTGGTTTACACGCGCACCGTTCAGTCCCTGCTCGGCAAAAGGGTCGCATGCATTCCCCCTAATAATAACGCATCTGCCCCGGAAAGCCAAGGGCTCTTTCTGCCGCCGAATCCGCCCCTCCCCCGATGCTCCCGCCTGGCGGGGTGGGGGGAGGGAGAGGCCTACCTCCCTGACGCGGCTCTGCTGGAGGTGGACGCCCGCGACGACGGCGCCCGAGACCGCGACGGAGGCCGCCAGAACCGCCTTGGACACCGTCGACATGCCCGGCGGTCTCGGCCTTCCCCTCAGCGCCCGCTGGGACCCCAAGGCGCATGCGCGGCCTCCTGCGCATGCCCAGCGGCTCGGCGCCTTCCAAACGCTCTTTCGGCCGCGGCTCAAAGAGGCAAAGGCCCTGGACGCTCTCCTGACCGCCGCGATTTCCGGTTCCATTCGGAGCTCGCCGTTCCGCGCCGCGAGAGGGGCAAAGAGCGGGCAGCGCGTGTCTTTTGGTTCGGCTTCAGAAACTCGGGTTTTTTTGCTGCAGCCACGAGGCTTG